CATTGCATTTTATTGTTCATCTGCTGATGGACATTTGGGTGGGTTTCCCCCTTTTGGCCATTATGATCAGTGCTAGTGACGATGGTGATTGATCACATCCTGCTTTCAGGTCTTTGAGTCTTAGCTTGGAGTGGATCCACTGGGTCATACTGGTTCTAGATTTAGGTTTTTGATGAATGACCACACTTTTCCCCAGTCGCTGCTCCCTTCTTTGTCCAGCAGTGGATATGGGTTCAGTCTCCCCATCCTTGCCACCCATAGGGTTTTCAGGGGCTGACATGCCAAGTCTTTTCTCTCACAGCCCCTCTGGGTGTTCTCAAACCTGCAACCTCTTGATTAGCAGCTGAGCTCGTAACTGTCCTCACCACCCAGGGACTCACCACTATTGATGCATGCCAGATACATCCTCGGGGAATTACGCTGAGTGAACAAAGCCAGTGCCACCAGGTCATATCCCATACGATCCCATTTATATAGCCTTGAAATGAGAAAGTTACAGTCATGGAGAGCTGATAGTGGTTGCCAGGGCTCAGTGGGGGTGGGGTGGGGTGTCTGTAAAGGGAGACCTGGCGGCTGTGGTCGTGGCACTGCACCCTCTCTTAACTGTCGATGTCAGTGTCCTGCTTGTGAGCTTATCCTGTAGTTTTACAAGATGCTGTCGTTGGGGAAACTGAACAGAGGGTGTTTTAGTTACTTTGTGCCGCTCTAACAGAAGATACCACAAACAGGTGGCTTGAACAAACAGGAGTTTATTCTCTTACAGTTTGGGAGGCTACAAGTCTGAGTTCAAAGTGCTAGCTCTAGCGGCTAGGTCGAAGCCCCTCGACCTTGGGCTTCAGCTCTGCCTCCTGCTCCCGGCTCACTGAAGCTAGAGGCATCTCTTCATTCAGGCAGCTGCTGGCTGCTGAAGCTGATAATCCTAAGGTAGACAAAGAAAATGGCACAGTCTCAATACTGTCAAACTACGTGGCAGGCCATTGCTTCAAGTCCCATTACCAGTCCCAAGATCGGCAGACAACAGGGTAGGCTACTGAGTAACGACTTGGCTACATGCAGGATTCAAGTGTGCCAAAAGCTGCAGACTATTCCCAAAGCTTCTCCTTACCTGCGGGAAACAGACCGTGTCCCTAGAGCAGCTGCTTGCGGCAGATTCCACCATGGGGCTGATGGCCAGTCTCGTCAAGGGGAGTAACTACCACCAGCTACCCAGCCACTCAAAACCAGGCCCAGCCAAGTTGACATGCAACCTTAACTACCACAATGGGTATATGGAATCTCTGTTTTTTCCTACAACTTTGTATGAATTACAATTATGTCCAAATAATGGCTTTTTAAAAAGTGGGTAAGGATAACATCTACCTCACAGAGATGTCGTGGGGTGAAAGGGGGTTATGCACGGGGACCCAGGCGCATGCCACACGACCACCATCCCTCCCGTCCTCTCTGCTCAGGGCTCGCTCCCTGTGCTGCCCTCCCCGTGCCCCTTGCCCTGTGGCACCTCTGTGCTCTGTCTCTGGGGCTCTTGCTCATCCAGCTTGGGCCACCATGCTCTCCCCTTGCCTGACACAGTGTCCTTGGGCTGAGGAGGAGGCCAGGAAGGGACTTCAGAGTGTTTGATGTCCAGTCCCCTTCCGTCCCTTTGTGTTTCTCCTCCCATGAACACCGAGATGCTGTGGTAGATGGGGCCCAGAAATGGGGGCCCAGGGCTGCTTGGATGACCGTGTGTGTTCTGCCAGCTGGGCCCAAGTAGAGCGAGCCTGGCTGTTCTGCACGTCCCTGCGGGTCCTGCCCTCTGCCCCCTCCCCTCTGTGGGATGGGACGCAGGACTGGAGCTTCTGTTGCTGTTTCTCTTGGCAGAGTGTGTGCCGGGAAAGCAGTTTCTAATTAGTTGTTTCCTGATGTGTTAACTGTGAGCCCCATAAACCTCTAATGACCTGGTAAGATGGTAATTAGGTGGTTTCCTTTACAGCTGATTGCCGAGGAAGGGGTGGACAGTCTCAATGTCAAGGAGCTGCAGTCGGCGTGTCGGGCCAGAGGCATGCGGGCACTCGGCGTCACCGAGGACCGGCTCAAGGATCAGCTGAAGCAGGTGGCTGGCCCGTCCATGCTGGTGCTACGAAGCCCAGCTCCCCGCTCAGTCAGGCCGTGCCTGGGGAACCTGGGCAGACGTACCAGGAGTGGATGCTTTCCACTGTCTTGGATGCAGGGCCTGTGACTCTGAGCCCTGCTCTGGCTCATCCCAAGTGGCTAGATGTTTGTGGATTAAAACACGTGTGTGCCCTTCACGGGTGTGGCCCACACCCTGACACGGTCCCCACTGTCCTCGATGTCTGTGGATAAGAACACATCCATGCCCTTCACAGGTGTGGCCCATACACTAACACGGTCCCCAGTGTCCTCAATATCTGTGGATAAGAACATGTCCCTGCCCTTCGTGGGTGTGGCCCACACACTAACATGGTCCCCACTGTCCTCGATGTCTGTGCAAAAGAACATGTCCGTGCCCTTCACGGGTGTGGCTCACATGCTCACACACTCCCCAGTGTCCTTGATGTCTGTGGATAACAACACGTCCCTGCTCTTCACGGGTGTGGCCCACACATTAACACACCCAGCATTCTCCATTTTGGCAGCCTAGTGACTGTTGCTTCCGTTTGTTTTGTTCCGGGTGGTGGTAAGGTCTTCATACCTCACTCTGCCCTTGATTTTCTCTGGTACACAGTTGTCTCGCTGTTAGCTGCTGTTGAAGTATCCTGACTCGTGGCAGCCCTGTGGGTGTGGGTATCATCGCGTCCCAGGCTGGTCAAGGCTGTGGCCTTTTGAGGGTAGATGGCTAGGCATTCCCTCCAAGGCACCCCTGGGTGGACATGACCCTCCCGACTTCAGCTGGCAGTTGGCCAGTTAACTGTCGTGCCACCCGGGGCCTGCACTTCTGAGGGTTTGAGCACTTAGGTGACCTTTGTCTGGGATTTCTAGCCGTGTTAACATGTCTGTTAACTGAGGCCAGGAAAGGTCTGGGGAGTCCGCCCAGGCCAGTGCCTGTCCCCCTCAGCTGGCTCTTCCCCATCAGCCTCCTCCTCGCCTGTCCCAACCCGGCCAGAGCAGCAGGAGAGAGTTCTAGGGCTGAGAGACTAGACTGATGCTTAGAGCCACGTGGGGTGGGGCAGTGGCCAGCAGGGCTGGGGTGGGTGGGAACAGCCCGTCTGTGACTCTGTGTCTTGAACCACAGTGGCTGGACCTGCACCTGAACCAGGAGATCCCCACGTCGCTTTTGATCCTGTCCCGGGCCATGTACCTCCCTGACACTCTCTCGCCTGCTGACCAGCTCAAGTCCACGTTGCAGACCCTGCCGGAGATTGTGGTGCGTGGAAATGCCTCTGGCTTCTGGGGGCAGATGGGCTGCAGAAACGCCTGCTCAGTCCTGGGGTCTGCCCTCAGCAGCCCTGTGCCTTGTGCCTCTCTCCAGCCAGATCCCCCGCCAGCTCACACCTCATTCCCCCTCCCCCGCCCACGCCCGGCTCCTGCCACGTCCCCCACCTGCTACAGCCAGTCAGCTCTAGCCGAGCAGTTCAGACCCTCGCTCTTCCACTTGTTGACCTCACAGCACATTCCGCGTAGCACGTGGAACCTCTGGGGTCGCCGCTCAGACAGGGCTCAGGCCAGGCTTTCCAGGGGGCAGGTGTGCACACGTGGGGCCTCTGTCCTGGCTAGGGGGAGCCACAGCAGAAGTGACCGGGGCTCTCCCTCCTTGTCAGGCGAAGGAGGCCCAGGTGAAGGTGGCCGAGGTGGAGGGTGAGCAGGTGGACAACAAGGCGAAGCTGGAGGCCACGCTGCAGGAGGAGGAGGCCATCCAGCGGGAGCTGCAAGAGAAGGAGCTGCAGAAGCGTGCGGAGGTGGCGGTAAGGAGGCGGCGGGGGGCGCGGGGCTGGCCGTGCCCTGCGTGGTGCCAGGCTCCTGTGCGCGTTCCTTCACGGAGAGCAGCGTGCTGGCGGCCCTGTTTCCTCGTTTCCATTTTCTCCAGAGCAGCGAGGGGCACACAGTGGGGTCAGAGGCTGGGACGGGGAGCTCCTTGAGGGAGAGCCCAGGGTAGTCCACGGGTCATTGGTCCAGCCTCTGGCTGGGGGCTCCCAGTCCTGCTCTGCTGTAATGAGGCATTCCCCTGAGAGGCCTAGGTGTCGTCTGTCACAGGACTCCCCACCGCCCGGGGGCATCCTTTCCCGTGCCCCTCCCATGTCCCCCATCTTGTCTCTCCCCAGCCTGCCTCCTGTGTCCCTTCTCAGGATCTCTCCTGTGTTTCTCCTACATGCTCCCCTGTCCCCCAGTGCCCCTGTGTCCCTCTGCCATCACTTCCCAG